AAAAAGCCCCCCCCCCCTTCACACCCACACACACACACACACACACACACAACAACATACAACTTTTTTCTCCTGAACCACGAAATCAGGATGGTGAGGATTGATGGGGTGATAGACAAGCTGAGGATTAAAAAGTGGTGATATGGCCATATTGTTTAAAGTGACTTCCTCTGAAATTATGGTATGGGTATCAACTAAATTTGGTTGAAACCATTTTAAGGTAGAGGGTATTCAAAATTGGACAAAGAGAGAGGCTGACCCCAAACAGGGTTGAGGGTCGGGACCGAAAATAGGCAATAACTTGGAAATGGTTTAGATTCTGATCCTATAACCTATATATACACATATGCTACCAGAACTTGCTCAAGGGCTTTGCTCCACCCTTTAAGACTTAGTCTTTGGGTCATGATGTTGGTCCAATTGAGAAGATATCCACCCCATAACAATATATACAATTGCATGACATGAAGATGCAACAAAATCATGCTATCATGATTGGCATCTGGGTCTGGCTCCATCCCTGGGGACTAAGTTCCTGGGTCACAGCATGGAAAGAGTTGAGATAACTACCCTATAACCATATATACAAATACGATTTGTACTGGGCAAGTAGAGACAAAGTTCAGATATGCTTTCAGGATGGGCCTTGGGGTCCTCCCCTGCTGTTATGGTCTCAATTTATGCATCATAACATGGAAGCGGTTGAGACCCCTCCCTATGAAGATATGTTCAAATACTGGGCATGAAGACAAGAATACACTCGTGATTTGCCTCTGGGGAGTTGGTCCTTTGGTCAAAACTTTGAAACAGTTCAGATTGTGACCCTTTAACCGTATAGATAATGGCCCTGCCTCTTAGGATTTTTTGCAATATTACTTCTAGTGAGTGTTTTCCCATAATTGCTTAAATATCTGTGTGAACAATGTGGGCCCTTTGGACCTTTTGTAATAGTCAACAACTTCATGTGTACAAGTAAAAAGAAAGCCTGATCTTTTACCGTTTCCTACAACGTATCCTACAACATTGTCACCTAATGTAGGTATTTCTTCTGTCAAAGAAAGCATACCTGTTGTCACGTAATGTAGGTATTTCTTCTGTCAAATAAAGCATACCTGTTGTCACCTAAGGTAGGTATTTCTTCTGTCAAATAAAGCATACATGTTGTCACCTAATGTAGGCATTTCTTCTGTCAAAGAAAGCATACCCGTTGTCACCTAATGTAGGTATTTCTTCTTTCAAAGAAAGCATACCTGTTCTCACCTAATGTAGGTATTTCTTCTGTCAAATAAAGCATACCTGTTGTCACCTAAGGTAGGTATTTCTTCTGTCAAATAAAGCATACCTGTTGTCACGTAATGTAGGTATTTCTTCTGTAAAAGAAAGCATACCTGTTGTCGCCTAATGTAGGTATTTCTTCTGTAAAAGAAAGCATACCTGTTGTCACGTAATGTAGGTATTTCTTCTGTTAAAGAAAGCATACCTGTTGTCACGTAATGTAGGTATTTCTTCTGGCAAAGAAAGCATACCTGTTGCCACCTAATGTAGGTATTTCTTCTGGCAAAGAAAGCATACCTGTTGTCGCCTAATGTAGGTATTTCTTCTGGCAAAGAAAGCATACCTGTTGTCGCCTAATGTAGGTATTTCTTCTGTTAAAGAAAGCATACCTGTTGCCACCTAATGTAGGTATTTCTTTTTTCAAAGAAAGCATACCTGTAGTCACCTAATGTAGGTATTTCTTCCGTCAAAGAAAGCATACCTGTTGTCACCTAATGTAGGTATTTCTTCTTTCAAAGAAAGCATACCTGTAACACAGCAAGAAAGTTTGACATAAATAAACATTTATATCAGAAAAATAGAGATCACAGCTTAAAGAAACCAACTGAAACGAAAAAGAAACTAATTGAAAAATTGATTGATGCTTTTCATTGAAGGGAACTTACACGAGCCGAGTGCTGTCTTTACAAGAGGTGGCTGCCCACATAGGTCGACTCAACACAGAGGTTGTCCGAGGTCAGTGGGCCAACCTTAGCTTGGAGCTGTTGTATTTTACCAACGATGACGAGGAGCGCTACAGTATCCAGGCTCACCCAACAGTTCTCAGGAACCTCACGGTACAGTCAGCAGACCCACCCCTCGGCTATCCCATCTTCTCGTCACCACCAATCAGCATTCCCACCATCTGAGATGGAAACGGTCAACAAAGAAGCCCCTCAGCTTATCAGCATCCTCACCTTCTCAGGGGTGAAAAGTCAACACAGAAACCCCTCAGCCAATCAACATCGTCACAAGGGTCATGTGTCAACACATAACAAGCCCCTATATATATAGGTTCTCAAACCACAATATCAATTGTGACTTCTCTTTTCGTTATCACAGTAGAGTAAAATGGGTTAAGTCGTTGTTGATGGTGACCATCTTTTACAAAATTATATCACTTGTATTATGACTTATATTCATTGTTCAAACATATACCTGCATTGGCACACTATAAGTTTGAATGTTTTTTTGGTCGGAGTAAATTAAGAGTAAAATTGTGAAACTGAAACAGAAGTCATTGATGTGATGTGGATGGTGTAATGTACGTAACAATGACTATCCTTGCCACACTGTTCTGTCAGTATGGAATGGGGTGTTGGTAAGTTGACATCTTTGAAGAATGTTTGAAAAAAATTGTACCAGTAATCATGCATTCCCTTGTTTAATAGGGTTTTTCAAAGTGACTGATAAAACTGTTGATGATGTAGGCTTCACCAGTTTTCTGGTGACTGTGGATCATACCTGGTCAAATTGATTATACACGGTAATTTTACCCGATATGTAATTATCATTTAAGATCCAAGTAATTATGCACGTGTAAGGAAATAAGCCAACAATTATTAACAGTGCAACACTAGGCCTGTATAGTGTGAGGGTATAGTGTATCTGATCTGTAGGAAAATACCTAAAACTAAACGTTTTGAAAGAAGTTAGTTCAAGTCTATTCTAACCATAATTCTTCCCCACAGTGGTCAAAATGTTAAATTTCAACTCTACTTATCTTCCACTGCCTTTTTAGTGCAGTGAAACATTTTCAGTAAATTGTGATCTGTGTCTTAAAATTCTCAGTGGACCATTGTGTTACATTTCTCTTGTAGTCTAGCTTTTTAATAGGAAGCACTGGCTTCTTCAGTTCTAGTCTGTGTTGAACTACTGTATGACACCTATTGTTTAATTCAAATATCCTATATTGCTCTAATTTGCTCAAAATCATTGCAAGTCTCTGCAAGTATTTGTAGGGTTGATTCACTGTTATTACCTTGCAGCATTTACTAGATGTACATGTCGATAGAAAGGGTCTCTGTGAAACATTCCAGATGTCATATGTAAGAGTTGTAATTAATTCTGTGAATTGTTCACAATACATGTAATGTGACATGCTTAAGTTCACATTAAAAATGAAATCCAATTATAGGGTTTCATCTAATGAGAAAAGGAACAGTGAAGGGTCTTGTCTCAACTGAGTGTATAATGATGCTATATGTACTATTTTGGGAGGACATCATATATATCTTTAATACAAATCTCAGATCCTTTACTGATTTTAGAGAAATTAATATATTGTTAAAAGGAGATTTATGTTGAACAGGATTTTGTATAAGTCACAAAATGTTAAAATATTTGAACAACACAATGTACCAGTAGTTGTCAGCTTTCGTCTTGTGTGATCAGATGTACCAACTTGTGGTGGAGTGTGACCGAGTGACACACACCATGATATGGAGAAAGTTCTTCCTCTCATCTTTGACCAAATTGTCTCCTGTTTTACCTGTTCAAGATTTCTTTGTCCCTGGGTTATGACTTCTCTGTCATCCCCTAGGGTATGATTTCTCTGGCACACCAAGGGAATGACTGTTTGCATGCAGAAAGAAACAATATTATGACATCACAGGAGCAATCATTTATGACGTCATAATTAGTTCTTGACGGTGAAAGTCATGTTCAAATCAGAATATCAAACAGATTACAAATGCTGAAAACTATTTTTTTTAAACTGATGGGAGAAAAGTAGTCATCCCCTACCTTGAGATTGTAACAGAGAATGTCCAACCCTCGGGGTGATTATTTGGTTGTCATACCCTCAGGTAGAACAACTAAATACATCACTTCTTGGGTCGGATATTTCTCTGTCAAACCCTCAAGGTAGGGGAGGGTTCTATTAGTCACTATTATGTGCCATAATAATATATTTGTGTTTAGCTATAATTTTAGTTCGACGAATGCATTTAGAAACATGTGCTGTCGTTAATGGCAAGCTACATGTATGTAATCTGAAATTGGGGAGAAAGAATTATTTGTCAGAAAATAGTTTACATCACTTATTTCTTTTAGAGAACTGGTTTTTCTTGCAAATAGTTTTTCTGCATCCTTCTGTACAGTGATGATTTATTATTTTCAAGTAAAAATAAACGAGCATTGGTCATGACACTTGCTCCAACATACAAATGTCTCAGTTCAGGTGTAAACCAATCTACAACTGTATGTCTAGGTTCATATGGTACTAAATCAAACTACAACTGTGTCAGTGTGTGGCTAGATCAAACTACAACTGTGTCAGTGTGTGGCTAGATCTAACTACAACTTTAATAAGAGTTTATAGATTATTTCCAAACGGTCATTTGAATGAAGATCAAGAATTAAAGATTAAGAATTATATTGTAAATCACAGTTACTTAATTAAGGAAAAGGCAATTTGTTTCATATCTTGATGTTTTATATTCATATGACTGGTAGTATGTGTGAAATGTTGAAAAACTTAAAATACAATTCTCAACATTATTTTCCAAATTAGAAATATTCGGATGTTGGATGAAGATTTACAAAGAAGAGTTTAAACAGTATAAACGCTGGTTTATAAATCACATATCAGCCCTAGGGTAACATATCCAAATAATAACCCTGATCATATCATTGTTGACAGTTTTTTATGCATGTTTTGAAAATCAGATTTTTTTGATAAATAGGAATCTGGAACATTTGCAATAATTTTGTAGATCTTTAAATACATTTGAGATAATATTAAAAACTCTTGAAATAAAAGTATGATTTTAATAGTCTTCTCTCAGACGGAAAGTGGTTTGTTTTCCTGCTTTATAAGATATTGAGGTTTGGACACACCCCAAAGGGAAAACATTTTACTGTTTATACAGGGAACTTGTGCTCCAGACATTGAAACAGTACATGTTTGACTGGTTTAATAACATATAGGATTCTCAAATCTTAATCTCCTATAAAAGATAATGCTTTAACTGTTTCCTCTAGTACTTTGAAATTCCCTAGCACTTTTCTGATATATGAAATATGAAGTAGTGATCATTAAGACATATCAGCACATTTTTTTTTCTATTTTTACTACATTTGAATATGCATATTTATTTCATTGATAGCAGAACATTGTTTTTTAAATGATCATTAAACTTTATTGTTATTGCGATATGATTACTTGTATAACATACAGTCCTATTATGCTTTTAAAATGAAAGATAACATTGAAATCTAGTTATTGCTTTCTGTTGTAGTGAGACACAAAAGGGACAGTGTATTTGATACCTTGTGTATTGATGTTTTACCACCGTAGTAATGTCTTCATGGCATTCTGTTGTCTGTGATAACCTGTTTTGGATTTTACTTTTATCAGTAATGATTGTTTATTTATTTTTTATTGTTTTGTTATATGTACTCTGCTGTGGTGTTATTGTAACATCAGTTGTTTATACGTTGTTGGCACCCAACTTTTGTACTATCATTGTAACACCAGATCTGAACTGTGCTTTGTATATTTGTAAACAGTGTATTTTATCTGTACTGAAGATATGTGACAAGAAAAGAAGTATTGCTACCATTAACTATTTATTATTTATCACGTGAGTGATTAATTGGTTGCTTTTAATTGCTTCCTGTAAATACCAAACAAATATTGACATTGTTAATTCAACACTCACTGGTTCAACAGGTCACCTTCTGCTTAAACATAATGAATATAGTAATACATCATGATAAATACAAGTTAGGTTTTCTCATTATATGGAATTTGATTACATTGAAATAATGTGACACCATAATTGATTCTAAGACTGCAGGTCCATTGTCCTATTGACATTGTTCAGATTAAAACATTATATTACGTAACGATAAAAAAAGCTGAATGACACATGGTAATCTATAGGGACCTTATAGTACACCGCATCATTCTGTTATACTCCTGAGTTGAACAAAGTTGATGAAATTCCAATGATATTGTATTGGTCGAAACACTGGGAGTGGAGTTAATGATGCCGTCCATTAAAGAATTCAATCTACATGAGAAACAGAAATAAATATCTTGTGTTACTGTATACATACTTTGATAGGTGAAGATAATATCTGTGCTCCAACTCCCTCGCCATACTTAAGTAAGAGTCAAACGTGAAAAAGGGTGTGGCTACTTACAATGTAACATGTTTATAACCGCGTCGGTAAGTTTACTCAGCGCTGATACTTTTATAACCGCGTCGGTAAGTTTCCTCAGCACTGATACTTTTATAACCGCGTAGGTAAGTTTACTCAGCACTGATTCTTTCATAACTGCGTCGGTAAACTTACCGACGCGGTTAGAAAAGTATCAGCGCTGAGTAAACTGACCGACCAGTTATAAAAGTATCAGCGCTGATACTTTTATAACTGGTCGGTCAGTTTACTCAGCGCTGATACTTTCATAACTGCGTCGGTCATGTTACTCAGCGCTGATACTTTTAAAACCGCGTCGGTAAGTTTACTCAACGCTGATACTTTTATAACCAAGTCGGTAAGTTTACTCCGAGCTGATACTTTTATAACTGGTCGGTCAGTTTACTCAGCGCTGATACTTTACTGCGTCGGTAAGTTTACTCAGCCCTGATACTTTCATAACTGCGTCGGTCATGTTACTCAGCGCTGATACTTTTCTAACCGCGTCGGTAAGTTTACCGACGCAGTTATGAAAGTATCAGTGCTGAGGAAACTTACCGACGCGGTTATAACAGTATCAGTGCTGAGTAAACTTTCCGGCGCGGTTATAAAAGTATCGGCGCGGAGTAAACTTTCCGACGCAGTTATAAAAGTATCAGCCCTGAGTAAACTTACCGACGCAGTTATAAAAGTAACAGCGCTGAGTAAACTTACCGACCAGTTATAAAAGAATCAGCGCTGATACTTTTATAACCGCGCCGGAAAGTTTACTCAGCACTGATACTGTTATAACCGCGTCGGTAAGTTTACTCAGCACTGATACTTTCATAACTGCGTCGGTAAGTTTACTCAGCGCTGATACTTTTATAACCGCGTCGGTAAGTTTACTCAGCGCTGATACTTTTATAACCAAGTCGGTAAGTTTACTCAGCGCTGATACTTTTATAACTGGTCGGTAAGTTTACTCAGCGCTGATACTTTTATAACCGCGTCGGTAAGTTTACTCAGCGCTGATACTTTTGGTTTTGGAATAAGTTTACAGTGTCAGTATTTAACTTTGTTTCACTTGATTTTTACACGTAACTTCTCATTGCTGTGAAGTATAACACCTTCAGTGCATCAAATTTGTATATATCAACCGACAACATGTTTGTAACAATGTATACACTGGTACATTTGTGCACATCAGCAGAACCAATACACACAACACTTGAATTCTCCATTTTGTAACAAATTGTAATTTGTATTGTGATCATTTAAATATTTGTTATGTTTTGTGTTGTGTCCTGACTTGACCAGTAAATATTGATTCTAAGAAAATATATTACTAGTTTTGCAAAAATGTTTATGCTTTTAGCATATAAATTTAATTTTGGATACTGAATATTCAGCTAGTAGCATTACAAGTGATAAGTGAGACAAGGGCTGAGTCATTGTTTTTGTACACTATTCTATGTGTTTATTACTGGAGTAATCATATAATAAAACAAATGTCTTGTAAATTGTCTTCTCTCATTTCCATTATAACACTATTATAGTGCTTTTTCAGTAGATCGAAACTGCAAGGTGTTTTCTAATGGGTTACTTTGAAATTCAACATAAACTTCAAATATTGAAGGTGGTTTTCTATATTAATGACTAATTACAATTAACTTTAAATATGGAATCAGCCGAATCATTCAGAAAGATTCTACATGGCAGTCACAAACACCTTAATCATTCTACTAGGAACTCATTCATACATAGACACTTAACAGGGCCCTGTATCAGAGATTGCCCTTAAGTAATCATGCTGCCTGTCCTGTCTGTCCATAAGGGTTTAAAAGTTTCTAAGGCCAAGGTCATGGAGTCATTTTGGGGGAAGGTTATAGTGGGGCGGAACCCTTGCTAATCTGGCAGTGTTCTAGTTAAGTTGGTCATCAGCTGTTTTGTTAGTTATGCTTTGTATAGATAACAACCTAACTAGAACTGTCGCCTGTGGGCTAACCAATACCACCACCATCCCCTCTCTGTTCCGACTGCAGAGGCTAAAAGATCAAGGGTCATAAAAAGTCATATAACCTCAGATGTTATACTGACAGACCAATGGAAAAGACAAACACCGCAACTGTGACCCTTGACCCCATGACCTCGGAATTTTGTCACTATGTAGCTTGCATCAATGCAACAAATACCTTCCATTTCTGTGATAATAAGTCATTTCAGTAACATAATGTATCCGTGACCTTTGACCTCATGACCTTAGAAGTTTGTCGTGATATTGCCTACATAACTGACTACGATACTCAAATGTATATGTGCATACAAAATATCTACCATGTCCGAGATAATTAGCCATTTCAGTAACGTAATTCATTCGTGATCTTTGACCCCATGACCTCGGAAGTTGTCAGAAGAGTAGCTTGCATTAATACTGACAATATTTCAAGGAAAATGTGTATACAAAATACCTACTGTTTCTGAGATAATAAACCATTTCAGTAACATAATTTGTTGGTGACCTTTGACCTCTGACAACACTACCTTGGAACCTGTCAGTAGATCAGATTGCATTAGCGCCTGCAATATTTCAAGGTATACAAGATACCTACCGTTTCTGAGATAATTAGCCATTTTAGTAACGTAATGACAGTCTACAGAAGTCAAGGACCATAACTTTGGTATATACTGAAGGAACATAAGGTATAACATATTTGCAAAGTGTTTCATGAAAATCCATGCATAAACCTAGGAGGAGTAGGTACAATATTTTGTCTATAGACAGATGGACAGACAGACTGATTCCAGTATACCCCCCTAACTTCGTTGCGGGGGGTATAATGAAAATAGACCTGAATCCTACATTTGTTAATCTTATACATTACTCATTGATAACAAAATAAGGTTTCTACTCTGAATCAATAATTTATTCCGTACATCATGACAACTAAAATGTTAATTCTGTGATTGCAAGTTTGATTCCTGATCCTTATTGTAACCATGGTGACAGATAGATTCCCGATTCTCACTGTAACCACAGCGATGGATAGATTCATGATTCTCACTGTAACCACAGTGACATGAAGATTCTTGATCCTTACCGTAACCATGGCGATGGGTAAATTCCTTATCCTTATAGTAACCATGGCGATGGGTAAATTCCTTATCCTTATAGTAACCATGGCAATGGGTTAAATTCCTTATCCTTATAGTAACCATGGCGATGGGTAAATTCCTTATCCTTATAGTAACCATGGCGATGGGTAAATTCCTTATCCTTATAGTAACCATGGGGATGTTTAGATTCCTGATCCTTATTGTAACTATGGCGATGTTTAGATTCCTGATCCTTATTGTAACCATGGCGATGGGTAGATCCCTAATCCAACTGTAACCACGGTGACATGCACACACATACAGTGTGTCGACAACACAAAAGCTTAATATATAGTTACCTGTTATTAATGCTACATAAATAAATACATCAAATATGGAAGCTAAATGAAATTCATGGCTTATAATACTTTTGGCTTTGATAACATTAAATTCTTGCTATAAGAATATTATCTTCCAACATAGAGAATAGTAAAATCTTGAGAGTGTTCATCTATCATTGATAAAAGTTTAAAGTTTTAGTGTTATTCCTGGCGAACAGAAAATCCTTGGTATCCATCAAGTAATTCCCTTGGGGGCCACGTATTTAGACGTGACATGGTCTTCCATTTGGAAGTCTTTGTGACTTTTACTGAAAAAGAAACAAATGGGAAAATTACATCACAAATCTACCATGCAGCTGATTTATAATAAGTGTACATTGTACTTCAAGTAACTTAAACATGACACTACTTCGGTGGTATTCGGTAGTACTTAAACATGACACTACTTCGGTGGTATTCGGTAGTACTTAAACATGACACTACTTCGGTGGTATTCGGTAGTACTTAAACATGACACTACTTCGGTGGTATTCGGTAGTACTTAAACATGACACTACTTCGGTGGTATTCGGTAGTACTTAAACATGACACTACTTCGGTGGTATTCGGTAGTACTTAAACATGACACTACTTCGGTGGTATTCGGTAGTACTTAAACATGACACTACTTCGGTGGTATTCGGTAGTACTTAAACATGACACTACTTCGGTGGTATTCGGTAGTACTTAAACATGACACTACTTCGGTGGTATTCGGTAGTACTTAAACATGACACTACTTCGGTGGTATTCGGTAGTACTTAAACATGACACTACTTCGGTGGTATTCGGTAGTACTTAAACATGATTGACTGAAGGTGTTGTTAACAGTATTAATTTGGACACATTAGGGTTGAGCAGTTTATAACATCGGTTTATCTGTATCCAAGGGGTGTAGCAGTTTACAACACTACTTCGTCTGTAACTACGGAGTGCAGCAGTTTATAACATCAGTTTACCTGTATCCAATGGGTTTAGCAGTTTATAACATCGGTTTATCTGGATCCAAGGGGTGGAGCAGTTTACAACACTACTTCGTCGGTAACGAAGGAGTGCAGCAGTTTATAACATCAGTTTACCTATATCCAATGGGTTTAGCATTTTATAACATCGGTTTATCTGTATCCAAGGAGTGTAGCAGTTTACAACACTACTTCGTCTGTAACTAAGGAGCGCAGCAGTTTATAACATCAGTTTACCTATATCCAATGGGTTTAGCAGTTTATAACATCGGTTTATCTGTATCCAAGGAGTGCAGCAGTTTATAACACTAGTTTGTCTGTAACCAAGGAGTGCAGCAGTTTATAATACTAGTTTGTCTGTAACTAAGGGGTGCAGCAGTTTAAAACATTGGTTTATCTGTATCCAATGGGTTTAGCAGTTTATAACATAGGTTTATCTGTATCCAAGGGGTGTAGCAGTTTAAAACATTGGTTTGTCAGTAACCAGTGGGTGCAGCAGTTTAAAACATTGGTTTGTCAGTAACCAGTGGGTGAGCAGTTTAAAACATTGGTTTATCTGTATCCAAGGGGTTTAGCAGTTTTAAACATTGGCTTGTCTGTAACCAATGGGTGCAGCAGTTTAAAACATTGGTTTGTCAGTAACCAGTGGGTGCAGCAGTTTAAAACATTGGTTTGTCTGTAACCAAGGGATGCAGCAGTTTAAAACATTGGCTTTTCGGTAACCAAGGGGTGCAGCAGTTTAAAACATTGGCTTGTCTCTAACCAAGGGGTGCAGCAGTTTAAAACATTGGTTTGTCAGTAACCAGTGGGTGCAGCAGTTTAAAACATTGGTTTGTCTGTAACCAAGGGATGCAGCAGTTTAAAACATTGGCTTGTTTCTAACCAAGGGGTGCAGCAGTTTAAAACATTGGCTTGTCTGTAACCAAGGGGTGCAGCAGTTTAAAACAATGGCTTGTCTGTAACCACTGGGTGCAGCAGTTTAAAACATTGGCTTGTCTGTAAAGGACCTGTCAAACACTACCGATGTACCTCGCCGAGGCTTAACCGGAGCAAAAAATTAACAACGGCGAGTAGATCAGCAGAGCTCCAGCGAGTAAGCACTTGAAAAATCTTAATTAATCGTAGCAATACCGATGTAGTTCTGGCTTTGCTGTTGATACCGTTGTTCTACCGATGTGCCATCGTTGAACGGAGCTTTAGCTGAGTGATACCGTTGCGCTGCTAATTTACGGTAGTATATGGTTAGTACATCGGCGTCGCATTATTACTACTTCGGTGGTATTCGGTAGTACTGCGGTATCACATCGGTACCAGTACGGTACACATTGAGGCCACCGGAGAGTCACCGTTCCATTACGGGGCGCTACTGGTGCTCTACCGACTTTAACGAAGACGTATCGGAGTACTTCCAATGTACTGCCGTTGTAGTCCCATTGCTAGCTCGGGCAGCACAACGATGGACATTTTTGAGCATGTTCAAAAATGTCCACCGTCGCCTGCCATTGCTCGCCTATGTTCTGAAAATGTCCTGACGATGTACAACTGTTCTTAGCGATGTGCCGTTGTACTAGTACTGATTCCCAAAAATCGCCAAATTTGTGCTCCAGTATAACTCCGGCGACCCAAATCTGCTAGGGGTGACAGGCCCTTAACCAAGGGGTGCAGCTGTTACCCACAGCTATAGCGGTTAGTGACATTGGTTTGTCTGTAACCCACAGCTATAGCGGTTGGTGACAGTGGTTTGTCTGTAACTCACAGCTATAGCGGTTGGTGACATTGGTTTGTCTGTAACCCACACCTATAGCAGTTGGTGACATTTGTTTGTCTGTAACCCACAGGTATAGCGGTTAGTGACAAACCAATGTCACCAACAGATATAGCTGTGGGTTACAGCCAAACCAATGACACCAACTGCTATAGCTGTGTGTTACAGACAAACCAATGTCCCCAACTGCTATAGCTGTGGGGTACAGACAAACCAATGTCCCCAACTGCTATAGCTGTGGTTTACAGACAACCCAATGTCACCACCTGCTATAGTTGTGGGTAACAGACAAACCAATGTCACTAACCGCTATAGCTGTGGGCTACAGACAAACCACTGTAACCCACAGCTATCGCGGTTGGTGACATTGGCTTGTCTGTTACCCAAAGCTATAGCGGTTAGTGACAGTGGTTTGTCTGTAACCCACCGCTATCGCGGTTGGTGACATTGGCTTTTCTGTAACCCACAGCTATAGCGGTTGGTGACATTGGTTTGTCTGTTTATATATATGATACAGTGCTACTTACTTCCAGCATTGATTACAGTAGAGATCTTTATCACAACCGTGGCAGCGAATGGTAGCATCCTCTGTACAGATGGAACAATAGGGTAGCTCATCCTCATCCTCCTTAACATAAAACACATACAAAATGTTCCTTTAATGCCAAAGCATAACAAAATTCCCTAATGATGAAATGTTTATCTTCTCGGAACTGAAGTTATCCGCCAGTGAAGAATTTGTGGATGGATAAGTGGACATTGATTACTATACAGCAAACTCCTTCAATGTTGAGGAACATATATAGAATTCAAGTTACCTACTTATAATGCTAAAGGTATCAGCTAATCAGTGGCTAAGGCAACCAGACATCTTTAATCCAGAAACATTGAAGTCAATTGTTAGGCGTAGAGTTTATCTTACAGATGTATATGTAACCTTCTGACAAAAAGTATTAACAAAATCATCACAAATAACTTAAAAATTTGACCATACAGAAGCCAGACTAGAGCAGCCATCTTGTTAAGGAAACATCCGAATATCAGCAGACCATCCTTTAATTCATTTATTATTATGTCGTTGTTGTATAAGTTGTGTCATGTGTTTACAGTCAGGTGAAACGTAACACAATAGGATGTATATTTATGGAATATGAAAACCCCTGTTACCATACTGACATGTTTTCAGTGAATACCTTTGTAAACAAAGACAATAGATGATTGAACAGTCATATAACCACACAGCTATTGTTACCAAATAGACTGATGGAGCAACTTCATAAATATAGCCAGGCATCGGAAAGCACTCAAATTTAGCTCAGGATCATCAAATGCCAAAATTTGATGCAACAAAAGATCACCACTTCGTTTTGAGCAAAATATGCCAAAACATCCCAATGTATGGTAGGACACACACGTTTCTGACATTGAGGTCTAAGAAGAACCATAATATGACACCATTTTTCTCTTGACCTCAACCAGAAATCTTTCATCTTAGACGTAATCTTAAACTTTTAGAATTACCAAGGTATTACTTTTTGTTTTTCTCATTTAACCTTTTCTTTGAACTTTACCTCTGACCTTTCCTCATTTGACTTAATCAGTGACCTCCTGACCCCGATCTTGTCAACATCTATATTGTCCCTGCCTGCTGCTTCATCAAGCTTTTGCTCCTCCATTAACTAAAATCAAATTAGCACAAAAGATATTGAAGATATAAACATAAATGTGATATGGAGAATATCAGTTATTTTATCTATTTTATAAACAAAACAAGGAACGTTTCAGTTGAAAATCCTTGACGGGAAATCAAAACAGTTTTATTTGATAAAAGAAAAAGGTCAGTAAAAATCTGGGAATCATTTTTAATCTAACCAAACCAAATCAAGAGGAACATTATTCAAATAACCAGTAGTCATAGAGAGCAGATAATACACGACAAAACAAGTGTATGAAGTTACCCGTTTGATCAGGTTAGCAGCCACTTCCTCCTCATTTTCATTGTCACTGTCAGAATCGCCGTTGTCCTCTCCTTGAGCATTGTCTGAAATACATTTACATCTCAAATACTGGACAAGTTTTATCTTATAATTTTATGCATGTATAAATTTGCATCATAAATGCCTTATCTGTGTAATATAGATACAACTTTTTAATCAAAATGATGCTCAATTTTCTCCCCTTAAACCTGAGCCACATAACAATAGCAGACAACATAAAGTTGTAAGTGGAAATGATGCTCAATTTACTCCCCCTAAACTTGAGCCACATAACAATAGCAGACAACATAAAGTTGTAAGTGGATATGATGCTCAATTTACTCCCTCTAAACCTGAGCCACATAGCAATAGCAGACAACATAAAGTTGTAAGTGGAAATGATGCTCAATTTACTCCCCCTAAACCTGAGCCACATAGCAATAGAAGACAACATAAAGTTGTAAGTGGAGATGATGCTCAGTTTACTCCCCCTAAACTTGAGCCACATAACAATAGCAGACAACATAAAGTTGTAAGTGGATATGATGCTCAATTTACTCCCCCTAAACCTGAGCCACATAGCAATAGAAGACAACATAAAGTTGTAAGTGGAGATGATGCTCAGTTTACTCCCCCTAAACCTGAGCCACATAACAATAGCAGACAACAAAAAGGTGTAAGTGGAAATGATGCTCAATTTACTCCCCCTAAACTTGAGCCACATAGCAATAGCAGACAACATAAAGTTGTAAGTGGAAATGATGCTCAATTTACTCCCCCTAAACCTGAGCCACATAACAATAGCAGACAACATAAAGTTGTAAGTGGAAATGATGCTCAATTTACTCCCCCTAAACCTGAGCCACATAACAATAGCAGACAACATAAAGTTGTAAGTGGAAATGATGCTCAATTTACTCCCCCTAAACCTGAGCCACATAACAATAGCAGACAACATAAAGTTGTAAGTGGAAATGATGCTCAATTTACTCCCCCTAAACCTGAGCCACATAACAATAGCAGACAACATAAAGTTGTAAGTGGAAATGATGCTCAATTTACTCCCCCTAAACCTGAGCCACATAACAATAGCAGACAACATAAAGTTGTAAGTGGAAATGATGCTCAATTTACTCCCCCTAAACCTGAGCCACATAACAATAGCAGACAACATAAAGTTGTAAGTGGAAATGATGCTCAATTTACTCCCTCTAAACCTGAGCCACATAACAATAGCAGACAACATAAAGTTGTAAGTGGAGATGATGGCATCACACTGTGGTGTTTGTCAATCATATCTATGAAGGCTAAGACAAGTGGTTGGTTGGTACATGAAGCTACAGCCCATGTGAGTCTGAGCCGTTTGATCTAGCCCTGGAATCATCAGTCATGTGTTGACTTGAAGTCAGGTTATTACAGTGTGGAATGGTGCCCAAAAATTAGGGTCTCATTTGAGTTCCAATTAGTCCATTCATCTAAAAATAAATTCATTTGGATATCATTTGAATTTCCAGCCATGTGTATAATATGACAATCTGTGTCACTTGGCAAAATATAGCTAAAATAAGACAACAAGTCCTTGACATATATAGTTAAAATAAGATAACAAGTCCTTGACATATATAGCTAAAATAAGATAACAAGTCCTTGACATATATAGTTAAAATAAGATAACAAGTCCTTGACATATATAGCTAAAATAAGATAATAAGTCCTTGACATATATAGTTAAAATAAGATAATAAGTCCTTGACATATTTTTTACTATTTTTGTAGTCTGTAGTCAGTACAAATGTACGTAATACGACATACATTTATGTGTTTACACAATTAGTTGTGACGTAGCAACAATTATTGCTACGTCACTGTTCTTCTCTAGTGCGTTCTCTTTAAACAGGGCATGCTGCATACACAAAACAAATAGGCCATATCAAAGCAAAACCAATGAAGTCACAATCATATGTACCTTCATGTAAAAATCCCCTTCACACAACAACTATGTGTATATATACCATGGTACTAACGATAAATAAAACCAGGTTTTATCTACCTCGAGTTTTCCAGCAAGCCAGCCTTGAACTTTGCCAGTATATCTCTTTGTACCTACCTTTGTTTATGTCCTCCTTGGTTTTGCCCTTGTAATCCTGCAGCTTCTTCATGATCTCCTTGTCCTTCTGCAGTCCTTCTAATGCCCTATTAGCGTCTGCCTCTACTTCCTCTGATGCCTCGGCAATCAGCCTATGCATCTCCTCGACACTAATGTCATCATCAGTTTTGCCCGCCGATGACTTCCCCGAGGGTGATGCGATGTTCTGCACAAATGGCTGACTGCTCTCTGTTAAACTGCTGTTTAAGTTGTTTTGTTGGCCACCAGGTGCTGAAGACTTACCTACAATTATGTGACAAAAATACATGGTAGAGATGTCTTCATAATAATGGCCATGCTGTACTTGTAATTTACATCGTGTATGTACCAGTTAACAAACTCGGAGCTTTGTTTTAGCAACATTACGGCATACTCTAAAAGTTTATAGATTTCGCCCAGCTACTAGCATATAGTTGCCCGTTTCCACTTTTAAACATATCTTGCTAAATACTACTTATCCCACATCCAGACTTTGTGTTTATCTTGTTCACCATGAAACAAAAGAAAACTTTCTTCTAAACCACTGTGAAAAAGGAGATTCAATTAGTAGACAACAGTTCAGTTTCACTTCACAAAATTTAAATCGATTTGATAATAAAATATCAGCTAAAATGACTCCCACAATCTATTTCTTAAAAGACAATACACCGACAGCTTACCAGCACTAGCACCACTCTGACCTTCACCCTTCAGGTTAGCCAGTCGACTTTCAACCTGTGTGACAGGGTCAGGCATGTGGGAGTCTATTTCTACCTCAGCCGCAATCTCGTCCAGTATGTCGTCTATTTGAGCCTGCTGTGTGCGCCTATCTGGGGCTAGGAATGTCTGAAATGTGGGAATTCCACAGTCAGCGAACAATCAATCAAATCAAAATTAGATCTTTGCACCGATCCTGTTTCTTTATATGTCTATATATATTCATTAATACAGATGCCTGCTTATACAATATATCTTTAATGTTAATGGTTTATACAGCAAACCATTGACCAAGGACCTCCGATATCAATTTTCTAAAGGAATAATTCATAAAAGATCATGTTTTACTGTTATAGAAGTAGAATCTTGATGAATGTCTGTTATACTGGGTTTCAGGCTGTACAGGGGATTATATTATAGTGTGATTAATATATAAGATACAAGCTTAACATTACACCTACAATTTGTTTTCAGTTGAACAAATACACATGCAAAGTGCTGTTTTCTGTTTTAGTTCATCTGAGTTATTGTTTCGTGTGTCATTTATCCATTCTTTTTTCTATCAGTTTTCGACTTTATGAAGTTCTAAGATGTATTGAAGTGTTTTGGAGCTTGAATGGTTTAGACTTTCAAACAAATGGTAAGAGATGACATTGTATACAAACTAAAATGCAATATAGATTAACTAGACCAAACACAAACAAATATACATACTGGCTTGGTTGGGGCAGCCATTATTGACGGGTCCTGACCCTTTAGTCTAGCCAGTCTTGCTTTCATCTCCTCCTCTGTAGCCTTTGGTGCAGCTTCTGTAAACCAACAGTCTCCGGTTAGTGAAACCAACGGTCTCTGGTTGGTGAAACCAAAGGTCTCTGGTTAGTAAAACCAAAGGTCTCTGGTTAGTGAAACCAACTGTCTCTGGTTAGTGAAAACAACGGTCTCTGGTTAGTGAACCCTGCGGTCTCTGGTAAGTGAAACCAACGACCTCTGGTTAGTGAAACCAAAGGTCTTTGGTTAGTGAAACCAACGGTCTCTGGTTAGTGAAACCAATGGTCTCTGGTTAGTGAAACCAAAGGTCTCTGGTTACTGAAACCCACCTTCTCTAATGAGTGAAACCAACGGTCTCTGGTAAGTGAAACCAAAGGTATCTTAAGTGAAACCAATGGTCTCTGGTTAGTGAAACCAAAGGTCTCTTGTTAGTGAAACCAATGATCTTTGATTAGTGAAAACAACGATCTCTGGTTAGTGAAACCCACGGTCTGTAGTTAGTGAAACCAAAGGTCTCTGGTAATTGAAACCAATGGTCTCTGGTTAGTGAAACCAAAGGTATCTGGTTAGTGAAACCAAAGGTCTCTGGTTAATGAAACCAATGGTCTTTGATTAGTGAAAACAACGGTCTCTGATTAGTGAAACCCACGGTCTCTTGTTAGTGAAACCAACGGTCTCTGGTTAGTGAAACCCATGGTCTCTGGTAAGTGAAACCAAAGGTCACTGGTAAGTGAAACCAACAGTCTCTGGTTAGTGAAAACAACGGTCTCTGGTTAGTGAAACCCATGGTCTCTGGTAAGTGAAACCAACAGTCTCTGGTTAGTGACAACAACAGTCTCTGGTTAGTGAAACCAAAGGTCTCTGGTTAGTAAAACCAAAGGTCTCTGGTTAGTGTAACCAACGGTCTCTGGTTAGTGAAACCAACGGTCTCTGGTAAGTGAACCCCATGGTCTCTGGTTATTGAAACCAACGGTCTCTGGTTAGAGAAACCAAAGGTCCCTGGTTAGTGAAACCAAAGGTCCCTGGTTAATGAAACCCACGGTCTCTGGTTAGTGAAACCAACGATCTCTGGTTAGTGAAACCAACGATCTCTGGTTAGTGAGTTCACACAGATAACTGAATGACAATCAATATTTAATCATTGTGTCAACATGTTAATAATGTACTTCATGTACCAAGTATGTTTAAATAGCAAAATGATGATGTTACTGCCACGATAGCTGTGGTTATATCAGGATAAGTTTGAGAGGTCTTGATTTAAACATTTTCTAAAGATAGTTGAAACCACCTATACCTGCATTGTAAAAAAACAAAAATGTTTAAGATGATTATGAAAAAACAGGTACACAATGTTAACTCTACATATAACAGATATAAAAATGTAACACACCATTTACAACAGATACACAGAAGATCACACACCACATATAACAGATTAAGTACATTTCCAAAAAACGAAAATTGTATACAATTCTGTTTTCCATCAGAAAAAGAAATTGTAAAAAAACACCTGATTAATACAACAAATTACCTAACATGATATTGTGATCATGCAAAAAAAGATAAATCATAAATACAGTGTTTGCTACACAATATTGTGATTATTCTTTTATAATTTATTAAATAATACTATTGCATACTTATAATTGAACACTTATAAAGGTGACTAAGACCCCTAACCATATCCTAAACGATTTATTTTTTCAGGCTTTGATTTGCTTTCAGTCTGGTTATCCTTGCTCCTCCCTCTTACATCATGTAACATCATATAGTAGGACGCATTCTTATCTTTCACTCATTTGGGCTTTTTCTCCTTCTTTTCCTTTTTAACCATTGATTCTCTCTCTCTCAATCACTACCTAATTTTTGTGGTTTTTCCTTGAGTTTATCCAGCCGCTCTGCTATGTCCCTTTCTGCCTGCGTGAGACCCTTATACTGGGCTTTTGTCTGCCCTTTGCCTGCAGGCTTGGAATGTGATAAAACATTGCCCTGTGATTCTCGTTCTTGTAGGGCCGCAACACGTCTGCAATATATGTAATAAGTAATTATATAACAAATGATAATGCTCAGTTTGACTAAATACAGACAACATTTAATGACAAAGTGTTACTCTGTCACAGATAATAGTAGCTCATTTAGTTTACTATTAATTGTCATATTGTTTACACAAACTTGTGCTTACATCAGAAAATCATAAAGTAGCATATGGTACTAAATCAACTTAAATGTCATGTGAACAAATTGTAAATACTGGTGACTTTGTTTAAAAGCTTATTTTGTGTACCGGTAAACTGCCATATATTATACTCAAACTGACAAAGCAATTTACAAGACAAATATTACAAAAGTTGATGTTTTAACTCAGAGAAGAAAAAATGGTAAAGTGCAAGGCTGGCATACTTTTTGTAGGCTTCTGGAGGAGAAAATCTGGCAGTGTTTTCCTGTGAGGAATCCTTGATTTTACTGCAAAAATGGATTAACATATATTTGTTCAACATTAGCACTGTTCAATAACATGGTTTTATTGATATATAAAAATTATAACATTGACTATAGTGTATAGCTATTGATACCTGTAAGTTATATATCAAAATTATACATTTTACTAAATAAGTATTTTTCAGAATCAGACAAACATATTTTCTGGACACTTCAATGAAGAAGTAACCTGATAACAAATGCATGTCATGTTATTATAGCAACCAGAGTGAATCAAGAGCAATTCATTTTATTTATTAATATAAATTAAAATTACATTAAAAAAAAACACATAAATTTTTGTGTCCATCCATACCCAGTTAGAATGTTAAAACACTTGTTGCACACATGGTGTTTTTCATTTTTAAGTTTTGGAATGGCCGTCTTTTTTGTCAAACATTTTCCACAAAATGCATATCCACATTGTTTACATCCATGCTGAAAAAAAAAAATCCAAGTCAAATTTTGTTTTATTAACATACAGTGTTCAAAATTTATTGATAAAATATATAATGTTAAACACTAGCTTATTCATATTAATGCAAGAGGAATATTTGTTTACAGAGTAAGGAAAATTCCTGGTAAGAAGTCACATAGCAAGCAGATTTCATTTAATCTTCAAGAAAGTAAAACTTTGCAATTTACGTGCCAGATGAACCAGTGCAAAAAAATCTATTGCAAATTTCTATCCTCCACGTATTTATTAACAAATAGTTTTATATCTGTTAAAAACACATTTTAATATCAATGTTACTTCTATGAAATATTCATGACATCTATCATTGATTAGTTGAAGGATTTTTCGGATGTGTTCTGAACATGATTTTCAAAATATTAATTACATTTTATCATTATAATCTAGCTACTACAAGATATAGCATGTTCTCAAAATGTGGTGAGTCCCACAGGAGAAGCGTTCGTCCAGGAAACAAATATCTGTGTTTCAAATTTCAGTGATGATCATGCATACAAAAGTTATGTATCATAACTTTGGAACTGATGTACTTCAATTTTGGAAAAGTATATTTTTCCCCAAAAAATATTTGTCTGCCCTGGTTCACATTAATCAACTAGTACAGACTACAGACTTACAGATTTGGATAAAAACATTAAATCAAATATGCAAAGTTCAAAAGCAAACAACACATTTCAGATTGTTTAATGGGCAAATATATCGAGCAGAAAACTTTACAGTTTGAGCATCAAAGAAACAACAATTTGTTATAGTGAATAAGACAATAAAAAACGGCACAAAGGGCGCTTCAGGGTTTTTCGCAGAATTTTTTAAAGCTGTTATATGTTTATTTTCATTGGACGTTCGAGATGGAAATTGGACACAGCACCGCAGCACGCTCAACAATACCATATCAAATTTAGGGGAGGGGGGCAATGTAGATGTGGCCCTTAGTTTTTGTCTCGTTAAATAAGCACCACTTTTATTTACCAAACATTTGATGGATTTCAAAACAAAAGAAAAATAAAATAAATAAATATGAATAGATTTTAGCAAATATAATTGTTTAATACTCCATAAAATATAATTTATCGAAAGTTATATTGGTTTTGTACAATAATTTATATGGCAATGTGGCATTGCCGAATATGTTTCTTATCTTTACATTTGTACCCCTGAGTTTATTCCAATTAAAAAAAAATTAAGGAAGGAATTTTTAAAACTGTTAGTGTTACATAAATAAACTAGGGGGGAGGGGGAACATCAATAAAAAAAACCTTCTCAAACTTCCTATTATGGTAAGAGAAAATGTTGTAATAACATTTAACAGTGTTTTTAATTCCTCTTAAATTGAATTAAATATTATTGTCAGTAAATTTGATTAAAAGATCAGATACAGCATATATTTTTGGGCCCTTTTTCAACCAAAAATTAAAAATCTGGACTTTTGTTCTGCTTTCTGGTTTTTACTTGACACAAGAAGGCAACCAGCACTAACTGAATACACATGCTGTTTTAGAATTGTCAAATGCATATAAGACTAAATTCATAATAGCTGTAACAACAAGTGTTTGTTTTTCAAGTTGTAGTTTCCTCAAATCAATCAACTATTGACCATGCCAAAAGGAGCCAGTGGTAACATTGGTATGCTCGAGTGAGCAGAGACACTCATGGACTGTTCCACTTGTCCCCCTCCCTCACTAATTACAGACCCCCTGCGGCATATACCACCATGCAACTGCCCAGTGGAGTTGTTGCTGGAATTTCAGTACAAATAAGAATATAGGAGGACAGCGAGGACTACACTAAGGACGTCTGTACTGTAGCTGTGACTACCTGTCCGCATCTTAGGAGCTGTATGACCTCAGGGCAGGACTTTTGAATCACTGAGGGCCTGGTAAGCGGTAACTTACCCCCTCACGTCGACCGAATACCAACTTCATCAGTGAGTGTAGACAATAAACACCTCAACCAACCAACCAACAAATAACAGGTGATATGGCTCATAGTCAAAGGTGATACAGGGCAGTTGAGCTAATATGGGGAGGATTTCATAGTGAAGCTGATACACCTCCATATCAGCTTTACAGCTTGGGGAGAACTCTGACCTTATGTATTAATTGGTGAACTGTGCTTCATTGAAATAATGCTGTATTCACAGAAAAATATTCAGTTTTCAGAACTCCATTGAATGCTGTGTGTAACAGAAGAGGAGAAAAATGTACAGCCAGACCGGTGCCCGAACCAGGGCCCCTCTGAACACGGACGCTATATGGATTGAACTACCTGGTCACCAACGATCACCCCAGTCCAGCTTCACTGTGTAGCATGGACAAACGATCACAGATATCAGGGAATTTAAAAAAAACTTGAGTATATTAATGTATAACCTAAATATCTTTTATATGAACTGCTACCCTAAGCTACCTCAGAATGTACAGTAAGGAATTTGGAGCATCAGCCAATCACAGCTAAGGCATCCATTTCTATTTAAATGTAACTTTATATGTTTTCATATTTTTTGTTTCATTAAATTTAATTACAATTAATACTGCCCATCTGTGACCTTTGCAGGGAAATTCAGCGTGACCAGAGCCATTTACATGTCTCTGGTTTGACAAACAATCTGCATTAGAAGTTTTCTTGAACTGTAACAAGCTCAAGGTGACTTATTTTCAAGCAGCTAAATATTCCAAGAGGTGACAGGCAATTTTTTAACAGGATGAATAAACTTGTTCAAGCTGAGAGATTCACTCAACCGCACATGATATTTTTTTTCTCCATCCATCTGTTCATCATTGCTAAAAATATCATCATCACGTGTGATACAATTCTAATTAATAACATTTACGATTATTCCAGAACCTCAATCACCCCTTGCACTGTGGAATAATCCCCATTAGCTTGAATTTTGAATTCACAGGTTTTGTGTTGTTTGTAAAATGCGCTGAAGTTCCCAACACTCGTTACAGACACAGGTGCTCGGGTCCTGTGGTTACAGACTACAGACTGACAGTGACAGAGCCAAACTCTTACGTTCTTATTCTTCTATTAACCCTACTGTACCTCTTTCGAAAATAAGCCAAACCCAGAACCACATCCATAGCAGGACATCTTTAGAGTTTCCTTGCGAACCGCTCAACTAATAATCATCTGTCTGTCGCCGTTAAATACAAAAACATCATAAATATAAAGAAGCTAACTATTTTTCTGTGGTGTTTATTCCTAACACTTAGTCTTCCTTCTCGACAGAAGATTTGAAAAAGGGAAATAACTGATCCAATGATAGAACGTCTCTGGATAGATCTAGTCGAGGCAATTTTTATCTTATTGTGAATAAATAAATAACATGAAATAAATTAAAATTTTGATATAATTTGGATGTTTTATTTGTTTATTTTCGACAAAGGTGGGGTTTCTTAGTCTGCCTACGCATGCATTATAAAGTTTGTAAAGAAAAGGCAAAAGGGCCTGTATTGGTGTTTCCCCAGAAAATTAGGGGTTACCCCAATAATTGATGTCATAATTCAGGATTGATGTTTGAAGATGTTTCAAACTATGATTGTGGGGACACTAAGCATTCCATTATTATGTATTTTGTATGTTTAAGTCAGTAATACAAGCACCATTAAAAACATCCAAAGTCTATTTTTATAGGTTTTCTTAGATGTCTCATCTTCGTAAGTATTTTTTTTATGGTATCGTCTAGTCATCAGTTTCCGCGCGTTATGTATTTCCGCGCAGCCATTTTTTCAAGCTATATATCGTAACTACGTGACCTGCTGGACACGACGCAATGATATTTTAGACGTTTGGCCATCGTCTGTAATTAACTGACACAAAAATTACCGGCATTTCGTCCGAAAAACATAAGAAATAATCACTGATTTTTGCTTAGTGCACTTTTTAGCTTGCTCAAAACACTGAATTAGATTGTTATCTTAGTCCGTGCTCAAAATGAGCCCATACCTGAAAAAACGGCGATATATTTCATCACATTTTATACACATCCCTGATTTCATCCATGAACCAGTCTTTTTTGTAGTCTGACAAACGTACGAAAATGTCGTATGCAAATGAGGCCATATCTCCTCGCCGATTTTTTCCACTTCCGAAGAGCCAAGGAGACATTCTTATATCGATAAACAGTGTTTTCAATGAAACGTAAACCTTGTAACGCAATGAACTTCCAATGTTCACCAATTTTAAACAGAACAAAATGAGAAATAACTTACCATCAGCCAAAACCGGTATAAGACTGCAAAAAAAGATACATGATAACAGATTCTATATTATAACTAAATAAATGTAATAAATAAATTTATAAAATTACATGAATTCGTTCAATTTGACATTTTGAAAAATCAATTAAAAATGTGAAATTAAAAAAAAATGTTTTGATAATTAATTTGACATTCGTAGAGAATTCTTTTTAGTGTATGCGAGTTATCTTTCTTTGAACACTAAATCAAAATAGACACATGGAAACATATGACGGCTACTTCTGACGGGAGAAATTTGTTAAAAATTGTTTGTTCTGAATCTTTTTTAAATACTGTTTTATGTTGCTAAGTTTTGTTTCCATTAGTAGATTGTATACATGTTTATGACAGTCATCCGTAATTTCAACAGTTTTCTGCCGATATGAGTACGAAATCGCGGTTGCTTCTTAAGTGCGCGGAAACCGGTAACCCGAGGATATTGTTTACATTAGTTATTTTTTTTTAATTTAAATTGAGAACCGGGAACATAGTTTACCAGCGTTTCTTATATACCAACCCCACTAACACAGACTGACTGAAAATGGACCTAGAGGACATCCTTGGGGGCAACCACATTTTGATGCCATTTTATCATCATCATCGTCATCACCATCACCATCACATTCTCATCAGATGAACGCATGGATATTCAGAGAAAGTGTTTTTCTCCTGCCCACACAACTCCAACAACCCAGGTGGAGTATAAATTGGTCTGGGGTGGATCAAGTGAGGTGGCACTATAAATGATGCCGTTGGAAGTACGGTCCCACTACAAACAGAACGCGTTAAATCTCCATCACACACGCAGGCATAAAAGTAGTAAGCGCCTGATAAAGCGCTTTAGAGTGGCTAATATTAGCTAGATAGGGCGCTATATCAAAATGTTGTATATTCATTTTTTTCTCACCACTCCATTATATCCCCAAATCTCGTTGACTGAAGACATAAAATCACCCTTTGCTCACAACACACATTTTCTGTCTGACTGGCTTGCAAGCTATTTCCTTCCAACTTGGCCTGTCTTGCTTATTTCATTTTTTATTTCTTATTGTCTAATGACTACACTCTTCTTTCATGTTAATTAAGCTCTTTTTTTTTTAAATTGTCTCTCTTACACTATACTACTATAGAATTCTTTTCAGTTAAAAACCTGTATACAGTTTGTCTGGAACTCGTTAAGAAAGCAGCAGGCTATATAGCAGAACAATTTACTTCCTCTGGTGACTTTGAGGTTTGGGGGCATCAACATTCAACTGGATTGCTCAGGGGTCAGATTCATTCTAGACAAACATTACAAACAAAACACAATCCTGGATTCAGTATGATGTTACAGATTCCACAGATCCTATCAAAGACTATTACTATAGGAATGTGTGCACATACTAATAGGGAGACAGGAGGTGCAGGAGCCCAATGCTTCAGGTTTACCTTGCTGGGATTTCTTAACATGGAGTATAAACAAGTTCAAGTTCTTTATTAACTTTAAGTCTTGCGACTTATCAGTGTAAGCATATATTAAACAGGATATTTACATATGTACAAAAAGCCACATTGGTCACAGGAGAATGAACAATACACACATACAAACTGTCATATATCTGATCGGCGCTTGTTTGCCGCTATCAGATACTTTCCAAGATTACATAATTCTTTAATATTCTGTGTATTTAGTAATTGAACAAGCTTATATACACTAGGGTTATTTCTATAGTAACATTTTAAATACTTCCGTCTTAAATCTGTATATCTTGTGCAAACTAAAACAAAATGAAACTCGTCTTCTATGTCATTAAGATTACACTTTGTACATAATCTATTAGTTCTAACAGTGCCAACATAACGTCCAGATTCAATGTTTAATTTGTGAGCTGACAGCCTAAGTCGAGCAATTTCTTTCATATAACCGATATTAACTGATTTTGTTAGATACGATTGTAGTAAAATTGTACTGTTTAATTCTCTGTAAAGCATACCTTTAGACATACCTGTAATTAAACTATATCCCTCTTGATTAAAAATGTCAAATAATCTTGCCTTAATAATTAAAAAAGTGAAATTGTTTCCATTCTGTGCGTCCCAGATATATCCTAAGCCTAAACGATACAATTCATCTTTTATTTCACAGACCCATGGATCCTTGATTAGCAGCATATTTTCATAACAGGATTTCGAAATACAGTTTTCGGTATTGAGCAATTTAAACCAATATTTAAATATTTTTAGTTTCCTTATTACATGCAATGGATAACGGCCTAATTCGAAATATACCATCATATTCGGGGTGGATTTGCGCACACCTAGCAACCTTTTACAAAAATCTACATGTTGTTTTTCGATGTCGGGGCCTTTATGGAATCCCCATACTTCTGATCCGTAGTTGACTATACTACTGACATAAGTATCAAACACTGCTAATTGAGTCTCAATATTAAAATACTGTTTTTTACATACCCCCAATAATGCAAACAATGCTTTTCTTCCTTGTTCAGATATTTTTTTCTGTGTTTGTTTAAATTTCCCATTATAATTCAATAAGATTCCAAGATAGTTGAATTCATTCACTATCTCTAACACACACCCATCGTATTCCCATTTTTCAATATCTTTTAATCTTCCCCCATTTTTAAAAACAACAATCTTGGCCTTTGAAGTATTTACAGTAAGGTCCCACTTGATAGTGTAATTTAACAAAGAGTCTAGCATCTTTTGCAAACCTTGAGGTGTTTCGGCAAAGATAACTGTATCATCAGCATACATAAGTAAAAATATGTCAATTAGTTGTTAGTCAATCGAAGGACAGCTGTCCTCTATAAATTGCATTTTTATAAAGAGATCTAACACCTTCTTTGATCAACTTGTACCATAATTTCTGTCTATTGATCAGGGCAAAAGCTTTGGTACATTCAGGAGTTACCCCTATACAATACGATCTTCATACATTCAGGAGTTACCCCTATACAATACGATCTTCATACATTCAGGAGTTACCCCTATACAATACGATCTTCATACATTCAGGAGTTACCCCTATACAATACGATCTTCATACATTCAGGAGTTACCCCTATACAATACGATCTTCATACATTCAGGAGTTACCCCTATACAATACGATCTTCATACATTCAGGAGTTACCCCTATACAATACGATCTTCATACATTCAGGAGTTACCCCTATACAAGCTATTATTTCCCTTATATTACATGGAATTATGCTGAATTTAAACGGTCCGTTCCTGAGCTGACCAAAAGCTAGAATGCCTAACAAACTAACCCCACCACGTCTTACGCTTCCGAAACATTCTCATTGGTCGGCTATAAACGGCACGTGCTTCTCAACCTATACGAGTGCCACGTACCTATAGGACAAATATTCCCGCTATTCTACGAACCGCGGGAAACTTAAATGATACTTTCTGGGAAATGCTTTAAAGCAAACTTCATCAGAACTTTCATCTGCGATAGCCCAGTTGGTTGGTAGAGAGTCCAATTATAGTATTTTGAAGGTCTTAGGCATGTCCCAGGCTAGCTAGTGCGCTGAACATTTATATATTGCCCCCCCCCCCCCCCCCCCCCCCTTAGCTATGGGACGATGGGTGATTGATACAAAAGTATGGAAATAATCAAACACTGATTGTTTTCTGCCAAAATGCGATACAAGTAGCAGGCAAATAAAGAAAGTATAACAAAATCTGTCTATTTGCCCTAATTTGCCTATTTTGTTCACTATCGACGAAACTATCCTTCCCAGACATATTCAAATTTGGTATAATTTTAACTGCTAGCATGTCTGTAATCAATATAGGCATTTTTCATGGAATAAAATACAGTAAGAGAAATGTTATGAAGCTTCGAAATTTTGCATGATTTCGAATAAAACTTATCGTTTGTTTTCATCCATGCTATGATTTAAGTCCTTTTAAAGTTTCGTGAAAATCCGTGCGTGGGCAGGGTTTATGGGACAAGAACGCCACCTTTCCGCTGAGGTTG